GGGTGGACAAGGAGGCCTGGGGCTCTGCAAGTGGGGCGGGTGGACAAGGAGACCTGGGGCTCTGCAGGCGGGGTGGGTGGACAAGGGGACCTGGGGTTCTGCAGGCGGGGCGGGTGGACAAGGAGGCCTGGGGCTCTGCAGTTGGTGGGGTGATTTCAGGTAGGGCTGCAGCCGTTGCTGCACTACAGTGGCAAACAGTCTGAGTCATTCAAAACACTAATCATCGCTAAGATGCAAGTTTTATACTGGTATTCCTCATGCCATTATTTCCTGCTCAAAGACTACTTGTGTAAGTTAAGCGGCCCCTAACTGGGTCACAATCCAAGACTTTGGTCATAAGTTAAAACTACAGTTCTGATACAAAATTAAAGAAAAACACAACATGAATACATAAATAAGAAAGGAATTCGAAACATAAAACTACAGTTCTGGTCATGACCCAAGGTGCTGCACATCAGGCGGGTGGCAACGGAAGGACCCACCGTGTAAGACATCAACAGTTCTCTCTCACAGCTCAGTCCTGGAGGAGCAGTCCCACGTGGGGACGAAGGCACAAGCAGCAGAAGGGCCTTGGCTAACCAAGTGAGTAACATCTCGAGATACTAGATGTTGAAGGACTGGCAGGCCCAAGTTCCTTCTTGGGGATGAGTGAGAAAAAAATAGCAGCTAACTACTATTTGGATCAAATCATAAAAAACTGCCAGCATCGGACTCTTCGTGACCTCTAAGAATTTAAACTGGTCTAACTGAATGGTGAGTGATTAAGAGTGAGGATGGGGATGAGATACGGACACCAGGAGAGACGAGGATGTCATTCCTCTTGTGAGAGTCTCACTATGTAGTACAGGGAGCCTTGAACTCGCTCATGCAGCCCAGGCTGGCCCTGAACTCACAGTGCTCCTCCTGCCTCAGCCTCCCGAGTGCTGGGATTACAGGCACCACCACCCTCAGCACGGATGCTATGTATGATCTGATGGGGATGAGCCCTCCTGTCTCCACATGAGGAACAGAGGCACCCCCAACAAGAGAACACATTAGCTCAAGAAAGCCTGTACATGCCTGCTGAAACTGGGTCATTGACGTTCTTGAATGTTACACGGTAAAATTTCATTTGCTTACACTCACGACGTCGGCATCAGCCACTGAGTCCACCTGCTGAAGGCCTGCGGATGGTGGCGCATAGGAGCCAGCGCCCAGAGCCTGGGAGCCGACTTCGTCCAGGAAGCCCTTGGAGGACTCCACCGACATCAGGTATGCAGCTTTCAGCTTGTTCCTGTCCAGTAAGAGGCAGCAGTCAGTCAGTGTTACAGAGCGAGGCTCTGTTAGGGTACGTGCCTCAAACGCAGCAACGTGGTTTTGGTAAACAGGCAGGTTAGCAGCTGAAGGCCTGAATGCTACTTTTCGGCTCACAAAATAGCCTATTACTTCCATTACTGTTTGGAAAGGCGTAACACTTAAAGCCTTACCAAAACTTCAACAGATTACCTCTTGATTTTGAAGCACACCTTAGACACAGGCAGAACTACTGTAACGAGAGGTAACTCCTCCTGGCGTGCGTATATTCCTAGGGAGCCGGCTCTTAGGGCACCATCCCGGCAGGATGGTGGGACTACGCCTAAGGTGTCGGGATGTGTCTCTGTGAGGACAGCGTGCAGGGCAGAAGGCTGCCGCTGCTCTTAGGAGCCCACAAACTTCAAGGCGACGGACACAAAGGATCAATTTCAAATACAATGCAGTGACCCAATTCATAGTTCTCCTGGAAAGAAACGACTATTCCCTATAAAATGGTTTTCAATAAGGCATTAAATTACATGAACCTCAAATAAATTATCCTTTGGTATTCTATAGCAAGACTCCCATGAGATGCAATCACAATGTAATACAGCAGTCTTACCACACTCTTGGCTTACTTCAGGTTTTTACCTAAAATAAACATTACCCCGAGGCTATTAATTTTGCCCTTCAACAGTGACACCTCTTTCTCTTTCACTACAGGAAGACTCAGAGCCTTACAAGGAAAAACATCAACTTTACTGCAATGGTGTAAATCAAATTTACCTTGAAAGTAGTAACCAAAAGCTGTTTTTCTACATACTGCCTTACCTTTAAAACTATGCTATACGTATTAACAGAAAACTTAAAAAAAATTTTTTTTTTCAATGTATTTAGTAGAGGGTACACAGATGGGACTTACAGTGATCCTTCCTGTTTTTCAACCTCCCAAGTGCTGGGATTACAGGCCTGCTGCAGCACCTAGTCTCAAACTTCTCAGTGTGTCCCAGGGGCGGGGCTGGCATGGCACGCTGGGGACTGAAGCTCTGGCCCCTGCGTCTGCCTAGGCAGGTGCTTTAATCTGCTGAGCTATCTGGCTGGTCCACATTTTCTTAAATAGTAAGTGAGGCTTAGATTTTACCTAAGTGAATTCAGTATTTCAATTCACTCCCATACTTGTTTATTTCTGGTAAAAGCAAACTGAACTGAATCCTATCTTGGTTCCCTGCATACAACTAATAAATTGTGTCACACTCACTCAATACATGCACATTTAGGACTGGCTATCTACCTCAGTGGTAGAATTATTGCCTAATGCCCTGGGTTCAATCCCCAGAACAGGACGAAAAGAAAAGAGAAAGGCATGCAATTTTGTAATGTTCTTCAGAACAAAACTAGCAACAGAAAATGGAAGAGAAAGGTGGTTCTCTCCTACGCTGTAATTCGTGCACTGCTACACCGCCTATGAAGGCGGCACTAAGGAACCATAGAAATTACATGGTGCTGACTTTGAACTAAGCAGATGGCCTCAACCTTAAGTGCTCTACACTGCTGGATGAAAATGCAGATTGTTTTGCCTAAAATCTGTCTCTTTTAGTTAATGGAAAATCCCTTAAGTACTACCGAGTTGGGAGGGAGGTGGTGGTAGCACTTTTAGTCTGGACAGAGGGAATGTAAAAATCAACAGTGACAAGTCTTTTTGTTCCTTAGGAAAAAATACATGGAACACAGCACGTTAGGGAAGCCCAGCTGAGAATCTACCCAAGACTCAGCTGTCCCCAGTGCACGCTGTCCTCTCACGCTGGCTCCAGGAGCCCCTGGATGCTACGGCCTGCGATGCTCAGGACTGGCGTGCAAGATGGCACAGCACGTGTGCCTCATGCATGCGTCATCACCTGTATACGTAGTCACCTAGGTTACCACTGGCAACACCTGGCACAGTGGCGTGCTACCAGACTTTCGGCACACTGTGTCGTTTAGGGCAAGACAGGGAAAAAGTGCCCATGTGCAGCACAGATGCACCACCCCCCTTTTCAAAACCTGTGCTTGACTGAATCTGTACAGAAAGGATAAGGAGGGCAAGCAATAATACAAAATAAATGTTTTAAGCCTAAAGATACCTTTTATAGCCCATTATTTTCTTTGTTCTTTAAATTTTTAAAAAAATGTATTTGGTACAGAGTCTCACTACCCAGCCTTCCCAGCACTGGGATTATAGGTGTGTGCCACCACGCCTGGACTCGGTGACCAGCTCAGTGTGGTGGTGGGGTACAGGGGTGCAGTGGGGGGTGCCCAGCATGATGTGGTACAGGTGCTCTAACCCTGGTCCTAGCCTATTATTTTCAACAGTAGAAAATGACCAGTGTCTGTTTCATAGAAATCTGCAATGACCTTTAAATAAGGGTTCATCTAATATATTTTATATAGTCCTGCATAACTATCATTTTTTTTTTTTGTTTTTTTTTGGTGGAACCGGGGATTGAACTCAGGCCCTTGTGCTTGCCAGGGAAGCACTTATTCTACTGAGCCATCTCCCCGGCCCCATAACTATCATATTGAGAGCTCTTTATTGTTCATCTGGAAGCATACTGCAACTTCTCTTGCCTTTTGAATTATACTCTTTGTTATTTCCTATATGCTACTTCTGGAGGTATTAAAATATTTCAAGTTTGTATAACTAGAAAGTCTTACTTTTAGTTTTCAAAGGTATGTTTGCTAAGTATAAAATTCAAAGAGGACTAATCTTTTCTTTCAGTCTTTTAATTAATCTAGTTTCTTACAAACTTGGTCCTTTTTTTTCTAATGTGGAATAAGATGCTATTTAATTTTGTTCTTCCATAGTTAATATTTTTATGTATATGCTTTAATGATTTTTTTTCTGTACAAGAAGTTTTGGACATGGGGGTGGGGAGATAGCGCAGTAGAATAAACACTTGCCTGGCAAACACAAAGGCCTGAGTTCAATCCCTGGTTCTGCCAAAAACATTAAAAAAAAAAAGTTTTGGACAATTTCATTTTTGTGTATCTTGGTATAATTTTATTTAAATGTCTTTGTAAAAGGTTCATTTTTCTTGGAAATGTGGTATTACAAGATGAACTAAATTCAGAAATTTTAAATCTTTAAATATTTATTGCCTACTCCTTTCTACTTTGAGAATTCTAATTATATGAATATAAGTTTCTTGGTTTTGACACAGGAAAAAAAAAAAAAGTTTTGCGGAACTGAGGATTGAACTCAGGCCCTTGTGCTTGCCAGGGAAGCACTTATTCTACTGAGTCATCTCTCCCAGGCCCACCAATTGATATTGTTAAGACATGTCTTTAGTACTGTACATAAAAAGAAATATGACATTAAAAAAGGAGGAATTGGGCTGGTGAGACGGCTCAGTGATCTGGAGCACCTACTTAGAACAAGCTTGGCAAAGCACAGGGACCGCGGTTCAGTCCCCCAGCTCTACATGCCAGCCAGCCCCGCCCCCTGGTGGGCTGAGCTGGCCCCCCTGCCCAAATAAATAAAAATTAAAAAAAAAAAAAGGGAGGAATCACAAAGCTGGATATGTGGTACTCGCCTGTGGTACCGGGGCCCTGGGAGGGCGAGGCAGCAGCGTCGCATAGATGGAAGCTCAGCTTGGGCAACTCAGCAAGGTCCTCAAAAACAAACAGAAAAAAGGGCTGGTGTGCAGTGAGGACCTGGCATTTAGCCCTAGGAACAGCCAAAAAGAGGGCAGGGCAAGAATCACTGATGTGGAATTGATCATGTTTTGGGGGTAATTTTTGAATTTCTACAATAAACATGCTAGTGAAAAGGATGTAAATGAATATATACAATATTAACAATTGCATTTACAAATGCACGGTCAAGAAAGTAACAAAAACATTAATAACTCTTCTTCTAGGCTTCATTTGCACATGTATTCCCTTGCTCGCTTGCTTAGTCAGTGCTGGGACTGAACCCAGGCCCTTCATGCTCCCAGGCAAGAGCTCTAGCGTGAGTTACACCCCAGCCCTTCCTGTCCAATACTTTCTATACTTCTAATCCTTGCACGTAGTAAAGACGGCATAACCAGAAAAGCTACAGATTTCAAATAAGCAAGCAAGATTTCAAATAAGCATGAAGCACGTAATACGGAAACTTACTTGGCAGTCTGGACATCTGCCGGGGAGAGGTTCCCTTGAGCGATTGCCTTTACTTGGTTATACGCAGCCTTGATAACCTAAGACACACAAGGGAAAACCCATCACCCCTGGCCAGCGCTGAGGCTCCCGAGCAGCCCCAACACTCCTCTATTGGGCCAAAGCGCAAGAAGGAGTTGCCTTTAAAAACAGCGACGTCTACCTGCAATTCTCAGTGGCCACACAGCCCTGAACGCTGCTGTTTGTACAACCTGTAGTACCCAAGAGCCAGGGTTTATGTAATGTAAGCGGCAGAGGAGAGAAGGTGGTGGAGAGCCAACACTTGGACTTGGCTTCGCCTGTAGAGAATACACATTTCTGGGGCCGGGGATATAGCTCAGTGGCACTAGGGCCTGCCTGGCAAGGTCCTGAGTTCAACTCCTGGTACCAAAAATAAACAAAAAACACCCCCCAAAAACCCAATCCCCTCCCCCAAGAAAAACCTCCAAACATTTCTTAAAACTTCTCCAGGCTTCCGGAGTCATGTAGTTAACACTGCTGTCTCCTACTATTCACGCAGAAGAAAGTGCAATCCACACACAGCCCATCTGCAAGCCTTCCTCTATCTGTACCTGGAACACCAGAGTCAAGAGGGACCAAGCTGCAGTGAGGTGGATGCTTGGGAAATGTGCTGAATGGAGGAGCCCAGCCCATGCCTTTTCCACTTGAACCCCGGCTCCATCGGGGCCCACTGCTGAGGGTCCCAGGCACCTAAGTTCTAGGACATGTCCCTTCCACATTAGCCACGCACTGCCATAGCCACGCCCGTCCTAATTCCGAGCTCCCAATTCCAAGCTTCTGGTCTCAGTTCTGTCCTGGCTCTTCTACTCCCTTCACTGCCCACTTTCTCTCAAGCTGCCCTGTCCGGCCTGTGACTATGGACCATCCCTTCAGTCACTCTTGACAGAGCTCTGAACTCTGTGCTATCTTCCTGCTGCTTCTGAGTGGCGCAGGACTTGTGCAAGATTCCAACCTGCCTGCCTCTCCCGTGGTTCCATTAAGGCTGTAAATGTTAAAGACCTAAAATTAGAAAGCAGACCTGGCTCACTACCCTGTGCATTCCCAGGCACTCATTTTGGGGAGATCCCTGCCCCACTGCTGATGCCAGTCACACGTCTAGGTTGCTTGCCCCAAGTCTCTTCTCCTTTCAAGGACCCCACCTTCTCATCCATACACATGGCCTGGCCTCCTCCCTGGCCCAATATGAGTTTCCTTGTCTCTGGACATTACTACTTCTACCTCCAAGATTAACCCAACCCACTCATGGTCTGGATCCCTCCTGCTCTTGCTTTTCCAGATCTGAGCCATTTATCATTTTCTAGCTCCAGTATTACTCTGTTTTTTAAAAAATCAGTGTCTGAACTCTGCAAAAGCTGTCGGCCTCCTCCCTGCGAGGCGGGGCCCATCGTTCCTGACTTCTCACTCACTTACTCCCTAACCACATTAAAACTCACTTACAACTACTTTGTGGAGAGCTAAGATTGCCAGTGATGCCCTCGCTTGCTGCTCTGAGGTGGACCCCAATCTGTGGTGGATCAAAATGGGGTCACCTATTTTCTCATTCCTGGCATTCCAGTCTGCCTTTTTTTCCCTTCCAGTCTTACTGGCCACTTTCCTTAGTCATCTGCCCCCTAAGTGGTGGTGTTTTCCAGAACACGAGCTTCCAGTTTTCTTTTATAATTTTTCACTCACAATTGTGACTCCAAGAAATCTCTATAGTGAAGCTTAGCATATACAGATCATAACCTTCACTTCTCCTGGACTGTGAAATTAGATACTGCAGAGCTGACTCAACCCCACCTGTCTAAGTGGAACCGCAATACTGAGACATTTTCCTGCTTTCCTGGAATTTTAGCAGGCATTTTTAGATATTCCTGTATTAGACACACTTCAGTGACAGCACAATACAGACAATGCTGATAAATGGTGGCATTCAAATTATTTTATCTAAAACCATGTAAATTTGGGGATTAAGTTTATGAGAGTAGGAAAGTTTGAAACTTACATCTCTGGCCGCTGATGCCTGTGAGACAGTGTAAATCCCAAAAAGCCCGGAATCGGAGTAGCTGGCATTAAAGGCAGAAACCTGAAATGGAAGGAAGCATTATGTGAGGGTGCTCTCCCAGGCCAGAGGGACAGTTTCCTCCAGGCTGCCTACAGTCACCAGCACCTTCACAGCGTAAGAAAATCGATTAATGCTTCACCTAACAAGTCTTGCTAAGAGCTGAAGTGCTGTATACAGGTTACCTCTTTCAGAGCTGCAATGGTTTTAACTTTTTTCCATTTAAAACTTTCTAAAACAATTGTTCAAAAAAAAAGCGCCCATAATTGTTCATTCTTCTCTTTATTGTTTTCTTTCCAACTTTCTTTTGATGAATAGTAACATAAACACAGTTATTCTAACAAACAGCGGCCACATGGTATGCACTATGGACTCTGGCATTAGATCTGCTTCAGTGTGCTGCTGGTATTGAGTGTTTTCACCTATTTGCTTTCATTTCTCTTACACACAAGTCAAAGGGTTGGATAAAATGTTCGCTAGAACCATTACCCACGAAAGTTTAGCCTCTGGGTAATCTTAGAGACAGTGCGTGCTCACAGGCTGAGCAGTTTTGCCTACTTAAGGGAAAAGCGACTGCATAGTGCTTTGCAGTGTTTATACCACTTAACATAGAAAATCACCTGAGTCACTCAAGTGCAGACTTTCAGGTTCTGGCAACACAGCCACTGACCTACATCCCTGTGGTCAGGGCCCCGGAGCCCACAATTTCTTCTAATTGAGGGAGGGTCTCACTATGTAGCCTAGGTTGGCCTTGAACTCGCAGTGATCGTCCTGCCTCAGCTTCCCAAGTGCTGGGATTACAGATGTGTGCCACCGTGGCTGGTAAGAACCCACGTTTTATACAAATGATTCAAATGATTCTCATTCTTTCCAAATCTGATCACCACCTGAGTTTCTTAACAGTTTCATTATAATTTTAAAATTGTACTACTCAAACCCCAAATTTCAAACTAGAAATCTTATTAATTATCAGATTGGAGATTAAACTCCAGCCACACAAAAATATTAGTTACATTCAATGGTGAAAAAGTAAAGCATTAAGAAAGCAGCAGATTATGAATGAAGAGAAAAAAAATCGGGGGGAAATTAAAATAGCGAAGTTTAATTTAGGGCTAAGATACTGGATTTCACTGTGCTCTAGGGAGCCCTAAGGCTCTCTGCAGCCTGAAGGGGCTTCACAGCAAAGCCAGCCATGCACATTTCTTCCATGTGCTCGACACCTGGGAAGTCATATGGGAAAAGGTCCCTCGTTACCAAACACAAAACTCTTCATCAAGTTTATTAAACAGGAACAAAACCAAGAATACTGACTCCAATTTCTGCTGTTAAGTGTCAAATGGCCAAGACTTAATGATGCATAAAGCTAATATGCTGTATACTGCAAATTCTGACCAGCCTCAGCCCTAAAATACAGTACATTTGTTGCATTTTAAAAAGGCATCCCAGGCCTGGGAATGTAGCTCAGTGGCACAACGCCTGCCTGGCAAGCACAAGGTCCTGAGTTCAACTGCTGGAACCAAAGGAGATAAAAAGGCATACTATTATGAGCTCTCTACACGATTACATGGGAACAAACGATGCCCACTCACTAAAATTGTTTCTTGGTATTTCATATTCTCCCGATATATCAATATTTTGAAAGCTTTAACGTTTCCTTGTCTTAAAAAGGTACTTTCTAGAACACTTTGTTATGACTGTCATTTTCTTTTACTTAAACTGGAGAGGCAGGGCTGTAAACAATTTTTTGTTTGTTTTGAGATAAGAGCTCACTATATAGTCCAGGCTGGCCTTGAACTCAGGGCAATCCTCCTGCCTCAGCCTCACCTGCTGGCATTACAAGCCTGTACCACCACACCTGGCTCTATGAAGAATTTTCTTGGTGAAAGTCTTGCCCATTTCGTTGGAAAATATAAAGGGCAGTGAAACTGTAGAGTGGCTACACAGAATGGAGTTATCTAGTAAGAACACCAGTTAGAACCTCGGGTAATGTATAACATCTGAAATGTTACCGTAAGAGGAAAGAACTGACGTGTGAATGTTTCCCCAGGCATTCAATTCCCCTTTATGTATTAGAATGGAAAAGATGGTACCTTTTTTGGGTTTCTTTTCTATTTTTTTTTTGGTGGAACTGGGGATTGAACTCAGGTCCTTGCACTTGCCAGGGAAGAGCTTATTCCACTGAGCCATCTCCCCAGCCCCCAAGTTTTTTGGTTTCAAGTCAGAGTTTTTATATGTACTCCAGGCTGGGCTCAAACTCATGGTGATCGTCCTCTCTCAGCCTCCTGAGTGCTGGGGTTACAGTAATGTGCCACTGCGCCTGGCTAGAACAGCCGATAGAGTCACTACTGAGGTAAGACCGGCACTTTTCAACTGTATCAGTTTTTTGTGTTTCCCTTAACCTTTGACGAGCAATTAAGAGCTGATGATCAGGGTCACACCACAAATACTAAGCCTCTGAAAGCAGGAGGAGACACCAAGTTCTTGGACTCACATCAAACGGCTGGTGGGACCCTTTAGCAACCGCCTGGTAAAGGAGGCTGGTGGCCTTGCTGCCCCTCTTGACGTGGGGCCCCGCGCCCAGGACATGCTGGAGCACACTGCACGCGCTGGCTTCTGCACTTCCCACCGCAGCACCTTCTGCCACAACAGCAGCGTGGACGAGGCTGTCTCCATTCTGTTCTCGGATTTCACCTGGGGCCACATAGGCAGAGGACGAGGAGGACAACAGTTTGGCCACCATTCATGTTATGCTTCAGTCCTTCCCAGGACAGGGTACTCACCCACAAGAGGAAGCTCATGTGGCCCTGCCCTTTCCCAAGGCCATCCTACCCCACCTACTTGCCACCTACTGGGGAACAAGACAGTGCTAAACGACAGCCTATTCACTCCAAAGCGCTATTCCAGCCGGGAAACACCCTCCCCATAATCGAAGCATGACACCACAGCCTGCTCACCTCCATGGTATTTGGCCTTTGTGCCAGATAAACCAAGTCCACCCCTCATGTTGAGAAACTGCTCAGCGACTTGCTTGAGAACAGGATGACTCACACCTGTTGGAACAGAAATAAGAAGTTGGAACCAGAATTTCTAAAAGTTATTAAACATGTACTACTAAAAAGGTCTTCTCATCATGTCATTCCCTATCAATTTACAGTTTATTTACTTTTTTGGCAGAACCGGGGATTGAAATCAGGCCCTTGCGCTTGCTAGGGAAGCGCTTATTCTACTGAGCCATCTCCTTGGCCCCCAATTTACAGTTTATAACGCTAAACTATCATACTTAATTTAAAAATGTACAGATAATATCACTCCTCTTTTTTCTTCTTTTGGTGTTAGAGACTGAATTCAGAGCCTCAAGTCCCCCAAGTTCATGCTCCACCACTGAGACATACTCCCAGCCCTTATTCTTAAAATGAGAGCCAAGGGTAGTGGCACTTGGGAGGCTGAAGCAGAAGGATTGCCATGAGTTTTGAGTGGGGTCAAGGCCAACTTGAACTACATAGTGAGACACTGTCTAAAAAAAAAAAAAAGGATATAATTCTACTAGTACTTCTAAATTATCTTTCACAATTTGCACCTGACTGGTGCAAACTCAAACATTTAATGGTTTGAGGAATTCCATTCAGTCAGCTATGGAAGTGCATGCCTAGAACACCCACACTCTGGGATCTCAGCTTTGAGACCAGCCTGGACAACTTATTGAGACCCGGGAATACAGCCCAGTGTGAAGATCCTATGTTCAATCCTAGTCCTGGAAAAAAATTTAAAAAGAAAAAAAATCCTTATGGATATGCCATCATTTACATAATCCATCCCTTCTTGATGGACAAGAACATGTTCCAACGGTAAATAATAGTGCACTCACCATCAAAGAACACTGCCAAGAAGGTATAAAAAGTTGGGAGAAAATATCCATGAATCGTGTGTGTGGTAAGGGTCTATTATCTAGAATATATATAAAGAACTTACGAGTAAAAAACAAATGCAGAGCATTTGCCTAGCAGATGCCCTGGGTGTCCTAGCAACATAAAACCCCAACAGCTTAATTAAAATATGGGCTGAGACCATGAACAAACATTTCTCCAAGAAGTTAATCAGATGTCCAGAAAGAAAATGAAAAAATGACTGTCACTGGTCATTAAGGCAAATGAAACTGAACCCACAATGACCACTTCATACCCATTAAGACAGAAAGGCAGTTGACAGTAAGTAACAGGCTTTCGTGAAGATGTAGAAAAACTGGACACACATGTAAAATGGTGTATAATCTGAAAATAATCTGGCATTTCCTCAGTTGTTACATAGGTACCATGTCCTGGCAATCCTCAAAAGAACTGAAACCAGGTATCCCAAGAAAAACTAGCACATGATGTCCACATTCAAAACCACTTGCACTGGGCACGCTGGCCCAGGCCCCCCACACTTGAGAAGCTGCTGCAAGAGGATCGGAGCAAGTCCCTGGGGCTATGACCACGGCCAGTCTAGACTACATACAGTCCCTATCTCAAAAAGCCAAAAGATAAAAGCCCAAAACAAACAAACTGAACCAATCCAAACCTACCTACCAACCAAAAACCCCCTCAAATATCCTTAAAGGGTGAATATTCAAATGTCAATACACAGATAGGCAAAATGTGGTAATGGAGTTATTTTTCAGCCATGAATGGGAATCTAAGAGAATATGTATGACCCTGAAACATGCTTAAAGAAGTCTGTTATAAAATCGACCTGTGATATGATCATTTATATAAAATATTTAAATCAGTAAGATCTTTCGAGATAAGGTTAACGGGTAAGAGGCAGGGAGAAACAGTGCAGAACAGCTGCCGATGGGTGGGGTTTTTGCAGGGGTGGGGAGACGGTCGGAAACTGACTGAGGAACACCACACACCTGTGTTTGGGGCCTGAACTGGCTCACTGCAGAGCGCCTGCCGGGCAGCACAAGGCCCTGGGTCCAACAGGGCAGGGTGTGTGTTAAACTTATGGCAGGTGAGTTATACTTCGATCTACTCCAAACTGTGCCTAGGTGCCCCAAAGCCTCATGAGGTCATAGGCGGTGCTTTTTCAGAGTTGGCCAAAGCTGGAGTGAGCAATGCTGGGATCAATCCACTCATTGGTTGGTGCTGCCCTAAGCCTGGTAGCCACGATAGTGTAAGAGGGGCGGAAAAAGCTGCCAGGGTCCCGTGCTTGCTCTGCTGCTGCCACCCGCCGTGAACTGTTGCTCCTCTGCTGTGCAGCGCTGCCTTGGAGGCGGCTAATTACAGACGGACACCTCTACAAACTGCAAGGGAGATACCCCTCTCTCCCTTTAACTCGGCATCAGGTACTGTTCTGAAGCCACAAGCCATACGATACTGCAGTGATATTCTCAGGCACATACTCGCTAAGCCTGACCAGGTGATTCTGTAGGACACATTCTTGAAAGTTTCTGAACCTATAAGTATCAACATTCAGACTTTATAAATGTGTGTATTTATTCATAAATCTATTCTCCCCCCAGAATATACTAGCTTCCTCCTGCCTCAGTTTCCCTACTGCTACGATTATAGGCATGTGCCACCACACCTATCCCACCAATAATTTTTTTTGAGGGGTGCCAGTAATTGAACTCAGGACTCTACACTTGCTGGGCAGGCACTGCGCTGCTGAGTAGTTACATCCCTATCCCCCACCAACAATTTTGACACTACCAGTCCTAATTTTTGCCAATCTTACCATTAAAATTATTAGTGAGGCTAACCATCTTTAAAAAAAAGCAGACACATATACATATACTTCTGCATAAATTGTCTGCTTAGGCTCTTTTGCCTTTTTTTTTTTTAAATTAAACTGCACTTTTTTAAAGACAGGTTATGGGCTGGTGAGATGGCTCAGTGGTCTAAAGCACATACTTAGAACAAGCTTAGCAAAGCACAGGGACCGCGGTTCAATCCCCCAGCACCACATGCCAGCCAGCCCCGCCCCCTGGTGGGCTGAGCTGGCCAC